TTTTTTTTTTTTTTTTTTTTTTTTTTTTTTTTTTCTTCTCCAGAAAGGAAAGATGGAAAAGGGGAGGGCGGACTCGCCCGTGAGTCTGACTGACAGTTTACATAATGAGCTTGCGAGGATGCGAGGCAACTATATAAACAGCTCGCAGGGAAGCAACTTTTCCATTTACTGGGCGCCGCTAGCACCGGTTAAAGGAGGAGCAGTCCAACACTAAGCACTCCCCTTTGCGTCGCTCACCGAGTCCTCTCGGCTTTGGAGTTTATTACAGCAGCTAAAGCAACCAGAGTTGGGTCGTGGGCTGCAGGATTAATTCCCAGAAGGGGACGTTTCCACACCTGGATTTTTACCTTCTGATTTCTGCTGGTGCTCGGGAATACTTCAAAGAGCAGGTTGCTCCAGGAACCGCCGCGACGCCTTTCTTTTCCCCGCCAAGCGAGAAGCGCTTGCCCTGACCATTTGAGGAATACAGGAGGAAAAGTGAACCCACTCAGAATTGGAAGCCTTGAGTAACACAAGGATGACAGCCTTGCGCACCTTTGGCTTGACGTTTCTGTTAATGATATTACAGCAGGTAATCACGCAATGAAAAAAAAAAAAAGTTCGCTAAATGTAAAGCGGGTGATGGCAGCAAGTTTGCATGGCAAAGCCTGGGTAAGCTCTGATTTTGGCTATTTTGTGTGTCTCCTCTTTGTGCAGAGGGTGTCCGGCTCCGGCGTCTTCCAGCTGGAGCTGCACGAGTTCGTGAACAGCCACGGGGCTCTGGCCAGCGGGAAGCCCTGCTCGCCCCACTGCAGGACCTTCTTTCGCGTTTGCCTGAAGCACTTCCAGACAGTGGTGTCCCCGGGTTCCTGCACTTTCGGCAGCATCATCACCCCAGTTCTGGGAATAAACTCCTTCAGCATCAAGGATACAGAGCGATTTGACAGCCCCATTAAGTTACCCTTTAACTTCACGTGGCCGGTGAGAGTCCGCTCGAAACGCGGTTGCCGCGGCGGGCAGGAGGGCGGCAGGGCAGCCGAATCGCAGCGCGCTGCTCAGCGGCGCTGCCAACGCGCAACTTTTGCCCGCAGACTTATTTCCAGAAGTTAGTTTTAAACAAAAGGGAAAGTGCATTAAGTCCAGAAGCGCTTGGGAAAATAAATGTTAAATAGAGGGGGGGGGGGGTGAAGTAAGCGGGGAAAATCTACGCTCTGCAAAGCGCGGGGGGACGAGAGGGGGTGCCTAGGCGTTAAAAGGAGGAACGAAATGCCCTCCTTCCCCCGCGCTCGAAAAGAGAAACGGCCTCCCGAGGGAGCTCCGTGTCGGCGCCGCAGACGCCGTAACGCGATCCGCAATTAGGTTAATTAAGAGGCGCGCGGCGGCGGGTGCGGGAGCCGTGGGCGGCGGTGGCGGCGGGTGCGGGGGCTCGGGGCGGCACCGGGGCTCACGCTGCTCTTTGCGCCCGCAGGGGACCTTCTCGCTCATCATCCAGGCCTGGCACGCGCCCGCCAACTACCTGCCCGAAGGTGAATGCGGCTCCGCGCTGCCCCTAGGGGGCGCCGCGCCCCGGCCCCAACGGCCGCCCCGAAACGGTTAACGGCCAACGGCCGCCGCGGCGCTGACCTCACCGCGCTCACATGTTTATACGATAATTTCAGCGCTGGCTTTATCCTCTCATCGGGAGCGAGTCCCTCTACGATATCCATCAGGGCCGCTTTGATTCTGTCCCCTACCTAATCTCCCAACACAATTGCGTTTCCTCCGGTTTATTTTTGGCGTGGGAAAGAAAGGGGCTCTTTGGTGAGAAAACCGCAAGGCTGCCAAAAAGTCCTGACTGCCTTTTCCTGTATTTTACACCTTTTTCGAATTCCGCCCTTTGGAAAGGAATAATGGCTTTGGGATGTTTTTCTGGCATAGAGGAAGAGGATATTTCAACAGCAAAACAGTTCTCACTTTGAAAAGCTCCCTGCAAAGCCTCTTAAGGCCGGGTTAATAGTCACTGATCCCAGAGGCCATGGGGGCTAGGGGACAGGGGCAGCCCCATTTCCCACCCCATCTCCCTCTCCTCGGCGCCTCCAGCACAGTGTCGCTTGCTTTGCTAACATAAATGTGTGCATTTTTAACAATATATATATACTTATATGTATGTGAAGTATATAGGCAAGAACAGCACTGTATGTGGAAGCCGGTTCTTGCTCCTCATTTCTGATGATGGGGCACCTAATTTTCACATTATCCCTTTTCCAATTGCATATATATGTTCTCTCTATATATAATTTTATATATGGATTTTTTTTCACGCTGCGCTCTCAGTCGGGACAGGGGTGTTGCGGGTGGAGGGCCCACAGGTCGCCACCGCTCAACGCAGCTCTTCTCCCCACAGGCTCCCGGCTGCCTCCCGAGGACTGGCTCATCAGCCAGATGGCGATCCAACGCTCGCTGGCCGTGGGCGAGGACTGGTCGCAGGACGTGCAGAGCGGCGCGCAGACCCAGCTGCACTACTCCTACCGGGTGGTCTGCAGCGAGAACTACTACGGCGAGAGCTGCTCCCGCCTCTGCAAGCGCCGCGATGACCGCTTCGGCCATTACGTGTGCGAGCCCGATGGCAGCCTCACCTGCCTGCCCGGCTGGACCGGCGAGTACTGCACGGAGCGTAAGTGCCGCGTGCGCCTGCTGGAGGGACTGCGTTGCAGTGACTGCGGGTGGTGGTGGGTCCCCCTGGCCTGGTGGGGAGCATCACCCACACGCACTCCTTGATGCCCATATCTGATGTGAGCGCTAGTCAGCATGGGTAGGAATGCAGCTCGTGGGGGCTTTGAGGAAACGTGTGGCCCCAAAACATCGGGGAGCTGGTCGATGACAGGACGCGGAGCCTAAAAACTGGCCCCCTTCTCCTGTTACAGCAGTGGCTCTGGGGCGAGTTTGAGCTCGCTGTCCTTAAACACTGCGGCTGCAACGGCACTGGTAAGGCACCTTGCACAGCCACATCGTAGCCACTGGGCCATGTTTTCCTCCCGACCTTTCTCCTCCAGGCCTGGAGAAGGAAAGTCGCGCTCTGAGGACTTTGGCCTTGTCTTCTGAGACTACCAGTGCCGGTGGCAGCAGTGATGGGAGAGCAAGCGAAGGCTCTTGGCTGATCTCCCTGAATCCTTGGTGTCCCTTCCAAATTAAAACATAAGCAGCTTGCTCAAACAAATGCTTCCACCCTTTGCACTGCCAGAGGAGATGCACAGGTGTTGCAGTGTAATAGTGGGAATTTTTAGTGTAGACTCAAACTCCTACTGCTGGTTTTTTTTTTTTTTTTTTTTTTAGGCCTTCATTAGCATAGGCATAGCCACCTCCTCTTGCTCCTTTTCTAGCAAGAGTTGCAAGAGTTCATATTTGTTGTATAAACAGTGAAAACTGAAGGACAACTTGTCAAATGTTGTCTCTTCTTGTTCACTTCCTCCTGCTCCAGAACTCCCTGTACTGAGGATTTTAAAACCAAAGTTCTGAAACTGCAAAACAGGTTTTCAAAGTACCTTTTGAAATGCAGGCATTTCCCCTTTTAAAATTGCAGTCCATATTGCCACATGTATTTATCTAAACATTTTTGCTTTTTTATGTTCTCTTTACAGCCATCTGTCTGTCTGGATGCACTGAACAGAATGGATACTGTAACAAGCCTGGAGAGTGCATGTGAGTAGATAGCACTTGCAATCTGAACTTCAGTTAAAATGTTGCGTTGTAATAGAAACTTCAGCTCTTTTCTGTGTCATTAATGTTTTAATTTGGCTTTTCTTTTAGCTGTCGTCCTGGATGGCAAGGCCGCTACTGCGATGAGTGCATTCCACATATAGGCTGCCGCCACGGGACTTGTAAAACACAGTGGCAGTGCATATGTGATGAAGGATGGGGTGGCCTCTTCTGTGACCAAGGTTAGTCCCAAATGTTGTGCTCTAGGCTCTAGGTTGGGTCTTCCTTGATACTGGACTAAGGGATCTGTGGTATTAGATTTAGAAATAAGTCTCTTCAAGGTTTATAGGCATCAGTTAGTACCAAGGCTTTCTTAGACAATGCATTTTCTTTCTTACCTACTTACTCCTGTACAAATGTAACAGTAAACTAAACAGTTTCCAGCAGCAGTAAACACCATCATTTGGGCCTTCCTAATTTTGCATACAAGGAAGTTAACTCATGTGATAAGTCTGTGGCATGAGAGAAAAATCATGTAAGCAAGAATGAAAAGTACAGGTTCCATTTTAAGGTACACCAGACAACTTCCACCTATTCAACCCACTGAATCACTGAACCGTAGCCAGCTGAGCAGTCATGTCCTCAAGGCCATATATGCACTGCTGGCACTGAGAGTATTAAGCACTCAAACCAAGTTAAGTGTTTTCAAGTCAGTTATAGGATTAAGATGGGGAAGTCTGAATAAGCAGGAAAAGTAAAGTTGCTTTTTTTTTTTTTCTGCTTGCAGTTATCTATTAACCAGTTGTATTCCAACTACTGTGGTATTTATAGTGCTTATAAAGATTTTTTTGCTTACGTCCTATGAACTTGTGTGCTTAACCTCTGTCTCCAATTGAAGAGGAAAAAAAAAGCACTATCAAGTTTGGCAGGGCATTTGGACAGTTTAAACTAATAACATGCATAACAAGAGAGCATCATAAATAAATAATAAAAGGTTTTGAATGTTTGTTTAAATCTCCAAGTGTAAACAGTTCTCTCTTTAATTCCCTCCCACTTCCCTGGAACATGCCTGGGAGCGCACTTTTTAAGGATGGGTTTTACTGTTTTAATATATGGCAGACTCCGCACTAAGTGTTTCTAAGGCCATAGAGTGCCTCTCAGAGAACGTACACTTACAAAGTACCTTTTCCAACTTGATAGGTGGGCATCTAAATCCCATTACCACTAATGGATTTACACGCACACACACAAAAAAAAAAAAGGACAGTATGCTTAAGCGCTAATGGACTTGACTTAAAAGTTTGCCAGGATTTCCACAATTCAGAGCTTACTGCGTGGCTGTGGTGGACCTAGAGGAATAACTAAAATTCCTAACACACTGAAAAATCTGTTTGTCATATTGATAATCTGAATAACAATCTCCAGTATTTCTACTGTCACCAAAAAGATTTCTTACTGAAAATCCTGTGCTTTTTGCTGGTTAAAGCATTTTTTTTCCTACCTTCTGTGCTCTTCAATGCTTGAGGAAATGAATGGCTTTTCCCATCTGTCAAAGACCTTTCTCTAACGTGTTGATATCTTTGCAGACCTCAACTATTGCACTCACCACAGACCATGCAAAAATGGAGCAACCTGCATGAACACAGGCCAGGGCAGTTACACATGTTCATGCAAACCCGGCTTTACTGGTGTGGACTGCGAACATGAGATCAGCGAATGTGACAGCAACCCTTGTAGGAATGGTGGTAGTTGCACGGTAAGGGCATTTTAAATGTAAAGTCTTTGTGAGAAGCAAGCCTAGGTATACCTTTTCAGAAATGGTTTTGTAACAACATAATGGGAATTTGATAGCGTACAGGTTCATTACCAACGCTCACAACTATCATCCTGAACCCTTCCCTAGAGGTGTCAGTGGAGGACGCCTGTTACAGGAGGAGATGTATCATCTAGATCGGAACTAGTCAACTGATCCTTAGGTTTCTGTGGCAGCCATTATGAGATCTTGGCAAGATCTAAGGCAAGTGAGGGAGCAGAGCTGTAAAACAATAAGCTTTCCAATTGAAGTGCTTATAGAAATGCACTAAATCTGCATTTTAAAGAGTAAATAAAACATTTGCTTTCTACTCTGGGAGCAAAGCATCAGATAATACAAGGACAATCAGCTGAAATATCTTCTGTGAAATGTGGTTCCACATTTTTAGTTTTCTGCAGTCTAGTGTTTCAGTGTGTTTTTTAGGTCCTTGCAGTGATTAACTCTGTTGATAAAGACTGGTAGATTATAGACCTCAAATGTAATAGGATGCACATTGTGAATAAAACTAATGATGCAAGAGTGCAGCTCTTTTCTCCCAAGCCTGTGGACAGACTGTACCTGGAAAGAACAGAGGATTTTATCGTGCTCTAAGTGGTGGGACTTCTCCATGGCAAAGTAAAATCAGTTCTTGTAGGAAATGGGCTATCACACAGAAGAAAAAGGTCCAGATGACAGCTGTGTAGGTTGATACATGCTATTTTGCTTTAGGGGGACCTCAGGAATCCCATTAGGCAGTAGCCACATTGCTAGTGCTTTGCCTATTCGCTTGTACTGCACCAGTTCTGTTATGTAGATACAGGATTACCTGTATTTGCAGAATCTGGCCCATTCACGGCTCCTTCCCTCACAGTCAAGCATTCAGATACTCACTGTGCAAATGCTGCTTTGGCCGCATCTGAGTGTGGGAACTGCACTCAGTGTTGACCAAAAAGAAACATGCAAGCAGCTATTATTTGGTGACATCAAATAACAGTCATTTCATGATATGTTTTACAGGACATGGAGAATGGTTACCACTGCCTGTGCCCCCCTGGATACTATGGAACTCACTGTGAGCACAGTGCTTTGACGTGTGTGGATTCCCCATGTTTTAACGGCGGCACATGCTTGGAAAAAGAACAAGGGGCCAGCTACACTTGCCTTTGTCCTCTGGGCTTCACAGGGTCAAATTGTGAAAAAAAAGTAGACAGGTGCACAAGCAACCCATGTGCAAATGGTAAGTCTATTTATCCCTTAAATATCTTGTCTCTTTGACCTGTTCATGCTTTTCAGTGCAGAAGTGATAGAAATCCAATCTGACCTCTACGATTGCTAAGAAATTAAGCCCTCTTCTCTCATTGTATTCCATATCTCCCCTAATTTTGTTCTCTTGGGAGGCTTTCATTGGCATTTTCTCTGCAATAATAATGCTCCAGGCTTACTGTGGGATGGAAGAGAGGGCAGAATTATGTACATTAAATAAATTTTAATATATATTTGAAAGGGGCATCATTTTAAGACACAATGATAAAATTAGGCAATCTGAAGAGAACTTGCAGAGACATTTGGTAGTTCTGTAAAATAATCTCCCTCTTCTTGAGGCAGTAAAACCGCTTACCACAGTGGTTTAGGTTTCAAAATGAAGTGCATCACCGACTGATTTTTCTTTCCCTTTTTTTCCCCAGGCGGCAATTGCTTTTACCTGGGTCAGATTCGTGTGTGTCGTTGCCGGGCTGGTTTCTCTGGTCAGAAATGTGAGATAAACATCAACGACTGTGCCAGGAACCCATGTTCCAATGGGGGAACTTGCCATGACCTGATCAACGACTATACCTGCACGTGCTTGCCAGGCTATAGTGGCAGGAACTGTGACATCAAAACCAGAGACGAATGTGCTTCTGGGCCATGTGAGAATGGAGGCACATGCTACAGCGGGCTTTATAGTGCCAACTTTGTCTGCTACTGTCCTTCTGGCTTCATGGGGAACCGCTGCGAGTTACCAGTTTATACAGTGCCTGTTACACTTCCTCCTAAACCAGTCCCCTGGATTGCTATATCCATGGGGGTGGGACTGGTGGCTTTGCTCATACTGTTCTGCATGATAGCCATGGTCATCAGGCAGATGAGGATGCACCCAGAGCAGGAGTTGGAGACAATGAACAACCTGTCTGACTTCCAGAAGGACAATCTCATTCCAGCTTCACAGCTCAAAAACACCAATAAAAATAAAGACCTCGAAGTGGACTGTGGGCTGGAAAAATCAAACTACAAACCCAAGAACCATAAACTGGACTATAATCTGGTAAAAGACCTGACAAGTAGAGGAACACAGGAGGATAAATACTACAAAAGTGAAAAGTGTTTAGGAGAAAAAACCCCCCTCCGACTACACAGGTGAGAATGCGATCTTCTTTACAGTCTTTTGTAAGCCTCCCTACCATCTTCCTAATGAGAAAATAGAAAAGAAAGAATTAATTCAGGAAGATAAAATACAAACAAGAACAAAGCTAGGAATTTTCACACTGGAGTATGCACGTGCGTGTCATAGCCAAGCGGTATCCCTCGCTAAAAGCCAAGCGATCCAGTTGAGTGTTTGTGCTAGTTGTTGCTAGTACGGGTGAGCAGGAGTGGCTAGCCCAGTGGTGAAACTAAGAAGTGTCCTTCCTTCCCCCAGTACATCCTGGAGAGACAACAGTATGCCATACAGGCTTTAAAAATAAGTATTTCACTTACTAAGAAGGCAAAGTGAACTACTCAGAGAGGGACAGAATAAATACTGTTGTCAAAAAAAGAAAAAAGTATCCATTGGCTCATCAGTCTTCTGACCTGTATATTGAAAGTCTTGCCTGACTTCGGCTTGTGACTCTGAGGTATAGATTTGAGCAGATCTGAGGAGTAGGAGATTGGACATGCCAGAGGCATAGCAAGGCAGTACCTATTCCTTGCACTTTTCCAGTGCAATGTCCTACCCATCGTATAGAATATGGGAAACTTGATCCTCTGGTCTCGCCTCCTGCACCTTCATGGCCCTGTCGTTTCACCCCTCCATGCTCACAGATTTCAAGAGCCAGCCATGTCAAGTCAAATAACATTCTTTTCTCTCTGCCATAGTGAAAAGCCGGAATGTAGAATATCGGCGATATGCTCTCCAAGGGATTCAATGTACCAGTCTGTCTTTGTGATAGCAGAAGAAAGGAACGAGTGCATCATAGCCACAGAGGTAAGAAGTGCACTGCTCCCTAAAATCACATGGATGCAGACATGAATTCACAAAGCAAAGAGGGCAAATTATCAACTAGAATTACATCTGAGAAGGTAACTCTGTTTCCAGAGTTCAGAGATACTTTCCAGCTTGCACCTCTCCTCTTCTGCGGCGCACAAGAGTGCTGAAGGAAACAGAACATACATCAGGGAACATAAATTAGCAGCTCTGGTTTATTAACCCAGTTATTTTGAGCTTAGATAAGTCAGTAGCAGATTTAAGCACTGAACACTAGCCCATAAAAAATCAGTGCAGTATAGGATTATTTCCACTTAAATAGGTAGTCAGCAAAAAAATGGGAATAATAAGAGTCTACAGATTCATAGATGTACAAGATAGAGTTTTGCCCATGACTACAACAGTTTATCTGTGTCCTGTAGAAAGAAGTAAATCTATAGATTTCCAGTAGAAGATGGAAGGTAACTGCATATGCTAATGGATAAGCATTGCAATCATTTAGGGAGTCTGTATTATGAACTGGAAAGAACTTCAACCTTAGGGCCTTTAAGCTCTAGATGTGTTCATGGCTGCAACAGAAATTACTACTTGTGGTACTGGTAAACATGTCAAGATTTCGATGGTATTTTGAAAGGTGATAAAACAGATTTTTTTTAGAAAGGCCTGAGCATTGAACAATCCTAAGATTTTTAAAAGACTTTTTTTTTTTTTTTTTTTTTNTTTTTTTTTTTTTTTTTTTTTTTTTCCTGGCTGTCTCTTCTAGTGTAGCCATCTTTAGGACAAGTTGCAGGTAGTTGCAGGCTCTAGGAAAGAGGAGCTTGCTGTACCATACAGCAGTGATCTGTGAACGCAGCTCTGCAGGAGTCTGTCTCCCTTGCCAGGGTGCATATCAGATTTCTGCGTAGAGGCAAGCTGGAATACAAGTCAACCAGCAATATTAACAGTTCAAGACAAACCAACAGGATTTTTCAAAGATACAAATGACAGTTAGACACTTAATTCCCACTAACTGACCTATTTACCATTTGTTCCTTTGAAGACCTCATTGACCAAAGCCAGACTCCCAGGTTTACATAAAGCACCTCAGGACATATTCTTATTTCAGGGTTACTTCTCCCAACATCAGTCTAGTTTGATGCTTTTGAACACAAGCTATTTAACTATATCACTTGCCTGTTAAAGAGACCTTGTGTTTAGTACCTAGATATGTAAGTTTTAGTCTAAATATTCTTTCCCTCGCATAATGTCAAAAGGCTACTTGTCATATTCTGTATCTCTGGACCCAATCAAAAACTTCATACATCAATAGTAAAGCTGCAGGAATATTTGTCTTAAATTACTTTGATTTGAATTTTGATTTATTAATTTGTTAACTCTGCAGTACTCTGTACACTGTGCTTCCTTCTCATTCCTCGTATTATTTTGCATCCTGACAGGTATAAGACTGAAGATCAGTCCATTTGCACCTCAGATGGGTAATGCCAGTAGATGGACGTTCCTGCTGCATTGTTTACAATTCAGAACTGGATCAGACTGTTTTTAATTACATGCAACTTGCTGCTCTCAGGCGGAGGATGGAACTGGGTGAACTGGACAGACTGTGAATTTACAGAAAGATGCAATACACCTTTTTGTTCTTACTGCCCTTGTTTGAAGTTTGATACCAGAAATCTCATTGGCTATTAAAGAGGGGAGGCAGAGGGAAAAGAAAGGGGTTTAAAATGCTGTTGTTTTGATACGTTTTTAAAGATTCTGAGGCCAGTTCCTCAAGGACAGACCCGTGGCTTTCCAGAACTCTGATTATGGGAGGTGCCAGTTGAGGAGGAGGCACTGAACTGTCACAGATGTTGCAACGGAAGGTGTGAAGAAAGACACATTGCTATGCAGATAATGGATACAAAATAAATGAGATCTCCATTTTTTCTTCTGGGTTTAGAAGTGCCTAAAATGTGTCAAGAGAATCTTAAGGAGCCCAAACAGACACTTGACTGCTATATATGCAGTTACCTGAACAGTATTGGGCAGGAGTGATTGACTCTTCCTGCTATACATCTATTTGCATCTCCTCTCTCCTGCTGCATGTATTGGAGACAGTTCAAGGGGTGAGAGGAGGAAGGAAAGAGGGATACAGAATTTACATTTCATCTCATTTGGTGATGCTTTGGAGAACTGATTGACACAAGCCACGATATGGGACAGGATTTTCATGGATTTAAACCCCTGAGAAGGGAAAGGTGTGATGAGGAATGTCTACTGCCTCTTCCCCATTACGAGGAGAGACATAATCCCAGCCTTACAAATGCGTTTAAAATCAATCAGCTTCTAGGACCTATGCGGGCTGAGCTGTCTCAGCTGTTTTATGGCCTTTGCACTACCAGTGATTGTGAATGGAAGTTACATTTTTCTTCTCCTTCCTCATCCTCTCTCCATCCCTTATTATGCAAATTTGGATTTTATGTTGTGTTTCTGAATTATGTGCCACCTTCTACTGTAAATAGTCTCAAAGTCACAGCTGTAGCTTTCTGAAGGAGGGATATTATCACTGCCCCTAATTCCCTGTCTGGTTGCAGAACTCCTGCTTCTCTTGTTCCAAATGGCCAACTGAGAAGCCTCCACCGAGAAGGCCCCTGCCACAGGTGGAGATGAGGGCGAGAAGGTGCTAGGCTTGTCCCACAGCCTTCATACATACCCGCCCCCTGCCACAGGCAAAAGGGCAAGGCTGCCCCTGGAAACCAGAGGCAAACCTCAACTCTTCTCTTAGACACTTATTTACCGCAGTAATAGTGACAACCCCATGGGAAGTGCTGTGACTGTAAAAAAGATGAGACTTCGAGGTGCGGCAGAATGAGGAGGGAGGAAACGAGACCGCTTCAAAGAAACCTGGACTGTGCTCTCTCTTGGACAGTGATAGTCCTGCCCTTGTAAATCCCGTCGTTGGACTAGCCCATCTACTGCTTTGGACTGTGCAGACAAGGCCCTTTCATAATGTCCACTACTGACCTTCTGCTCTGACTGTGTAGGACCAATTTGAAGATGACCTTCAGAAATCAATAATATGGGTTTTAGTTTGTCTGTCTGTAGTTTATTTTGAAGTCTAGTATTTCAGTAATTTAAAAAAATCAGAAGCACTGAACTTTCTACGTTTTATAACATTATTTTGTATATAATGTATATTTATAATCAAAACAGAAGTGTAAATATGTTTATTACTTCTCATGTAATGTTTTTAATGTGATGACAAAGTTTGAATTTTATTTTTTTTTCAAACAATGAAAATACTTTCCTGCTACTATGAGGTTTATTGTGGTTTGTCCTTTTACAGTCCTGCTAGGTTTCATGATTCTGTGAGAGGCTGGCTTAATTGAAACTTCAGGCATGAGCTTGTCTGCTCACTGTTCACAGCCCTACATTTGCATTTTGCAAACCAACCTGCTGTAGGCTGCTTTTACAACCACTAGCTATTGTCAACAAAGACGTTCAGCTGCGTGAAATGCAGCTGACAGAAAATTATACATATCTATTTTGTCCTGTACAGTATTTAAATAATATATAGATAGATACTCTATTGGGATGGAGTGAGATATAAGCAGTCAGAAAAGTTATTTTTATTAATTCATCTTTCACTATTTTTCTTCCATGACAACTTGTGGCATGGAAGGTACAGATTTAATATCTTTTCCAAGTGGCTTAATAAATGTCTTGGCTTGGGGTTCACATATGAAACAAGACACAATTTCTATTTTTTTTTAATCCCACTTATTTAAATTCTTTCAGAAAGAACCCATTTTTCCCTACTTGCCTTATTCTTCCACAGCATCTACATCTCTGCTTGCAAAATTGCACTCCTGTTTGTTTGAGCGGGGTGGATAAGACTGAGCCCTCCTGCACAGCACGCAGGGGAGTTTGAGGCTTTTTCCCACCGCACCGCCTTCGCGCCAGCAGCAGCGCCGTCCTCCCAGTCTAACAAAGTCATTCTGCTGCACGGCCCTTCTGGGGGAGGTTTCCACAAGAAGGGGAAAAAACAAACTTACACAAAATGCTCCCAGGAGGTTTAGTAGCCCTTGAAATGCACGCATTTACAGACAATTAAATCCCTCACTAGATCAGCTAAATGCAATACAACCAACATCTGAATGCACAAAAGCAAAAGCTATAAGAACAGGAAAACACTGCTGCTCTATTTAAAAACTAGACTTTTTTTCTTGTTGACAAAATGCCAAAAAAGCATCTTAGTTTTAGATGTCTTTCCACAAAATAAAATCTAACCAAAACCTGATAGTTTTCATGTAAAAAGCGCAAACACTATAAAAGCACTATAACAAATACATTTTGACTTTGTCTTTAAAGCACTGCAAATAACGGTTAATAAGGGTCCTTCTCAGTGCATTATTGAGGTTACATAAATGCTGTTTACTTTGGGTGGTTTTCTTTCTCCCTCTTTGGTTCTTTTCTTAGTAAAATTAACTTTCAAATCCCAATCAATTTCCCTGGCTACCATGAAAATAAATTCAAGATGAAACTCAGAAATAAAAAGCCTCCTCCCCCTCCCCAAACATTCACCCTGTAGAGCAAATTATGAAAAACAAGCCATTGACAAAAAGCTGAGCAGATGCTCCCTGCTTGCAGTCCTTCCTCAGCAATGTGAAATAAACCCAACAGATGCCTCTCTTAATTGAGCCCATGGATTACATACACACATGCACTCTGTCCTGCTTAAAACAAAACACACACAAAAATCAAACAGGAAAATAGCCAGAGAACTCTTCCCAAAGCCCAGGCAAGCAAGAACGCTAAGCCCAAAAAAGACTCGGCTCTTCCTGCTCAAAAAGAGACAGGAAACCGTATCTGTAGACAGAAGGGAGTTGAAATCCATTAAAACTCATGGACCTGATTATGTAGATCCCACAGGGTAAAGCAGGTACAACACATGCCTTTGTGTACCCACACAGGAGAGAGGAAAAAAATAAAATAAAACGTGCATCAGCTCACAAGGAAATCAGTGAATATTTACTGGAGGCAGCCCTGCACTCTGCAGCTACCAGAATAGATCACAGGTCCTACACAGGAAAAACAGGAGCGCTGCCTGCTTCCACGCAGGGGGAGATGGAAGCACATGTGAATCCATGCACGTGTGCACATCCCCAAGTCTGTGCCAAAGAAATTACAAGCAAATTAGCTGAATGCATAATATGACCCAGATTTAACCCACATCTTTGGCCAAAAAATTCCTCACCAAGCGCTGCTGTGCACTGTCTGCTCGTCCCTCCAAGTGAGTGCATCTCAGTGCCACAGCTCAACTGCACGAGACAAGCCCCCAGCTCCCTCAGGGTTATAAGGACTCGCCCGAATGTCAAACATTCCCCACGACAACTGCAGGTGATGCCAGGACCAGTAAACTACTTCTGGCTTGCTTGATCCATGTGGATAACATACATTGTTAAACAAACCTGGAGAGTTTAAGACTCAGTCATAACTTGGACTAACTTCTGTTAGTATAATTTGTAACTAACTATGGCAAGGCTTGAAGACAGATTTGTCCTGAGGACTGCACCTAAACGTGACTTTTGGTGTAAAAGACTGCACAGATTGACTCATGTAAACACGATCTAACTTAACAACATCTACAAGAATAGGCTCCTGATCCTGCAAACCTCTCATGTTTCCTCTTATTTGTACTCAGCAGAAACTGTTTCATAGCCACAGAGAACCCTTCATCCATTGCAAATTCAAAGCTGGTTTGACAGAGAGGGCTGCCCCTCAGTGCAGTGCCTTGCTCACTTTGTTCCAGCTTTGGGATCCAGACCTTCACCATTTGCCTCTCAAACTGCCTGCTTGTTAGGAGAAGCAGCTGCTGGGCTATACCCGTAACTATAGCACCCACTGGTGCTGAGACACCATGCAGCAGGACCACGCTCACACAGGCACGGCACAGGGCACCGCATCCAGCTAGGCAAGTGTAGAAGAGGGATGCTTGTAAAAATCATCCTTGATACAAAACATGCCTCAAACGGGGTAAAATGCAAAATGTCTGGATATCAAAATACTTGGCCAGCAGCAGCGCTCAGCCTTCAAGGAGCTGTTGAGATAGATTAAGTCAGCCTGTGCAACTGCAACCATCTAATAGAAGAAACCATCTCTGTAAAAACAGATTTCCTGCGCTTTGGTTACTTCTCAGTCTTTTTCTTTCAGCTCATGCTAATAGAAGGCATAGCTCAATGAGGAAGGCATAGCAAGCCACTAACACCACTTATGCTGCAGTGACTTAAGCAGAAGTTATGTATCTATGTTTGCCTGTCATTCTTCTTGCCTTATCTCACATACCTGATCCATAAATACATATTGATTTTACACAGTAGATAAGACACTCCCATCATACTAGAGCAGGCAGGAGAGTGAGAGTCATAATCCAAACTCCAGTTGTGGAGATGTGACATAATTCAGTGGCCCTCTGCCATGCCTCAACTGTTTTCATAACTTCAGTTTTACAGCCTATCTGGAGAGTCAACAGCAATATTTCAGCCCCACTACTCTCCCTCTCTGCGTCTCTGTTTGCTTTTGCTAACTCAGCTCCCAGAGCTTGCAGGTAGTGGCCTGATATTCCCATCACTGGTGACGCCCAAAGCAGTGACAGTTCTCTCCTGCCTGCTCTATCCCTGTCCACTCTGCTCTCAAGCTTTGTCTGGACAACACAGTGACTCAGTTCCATAAAACTACCATTTCTTTCTCTCCTCCCTTCACTGTTCTTATCTCCGCAGTTGCCCTGGTTCCTTCTCCTTGCTCCACATGCAGCTCTATGGTACATTTCTGCAGCTCAGAGGTCCTTCACGCTGCTGTGTTAGCATGGGGCTCCTGCCCGATTCACAGCATAAAGCACTGCATGTAGAGCACACATTCCAGGTGTTAGATCAATGATGCCACACACAGCATTCAGTTCAGGGGACCTGCATGTCCTTTCTCTCCTTCCCTTTTACACCTTGACAGCAAACTATCAAGCAACCTCCCTCTGCAGACGTCTAAGCTCTCCCTTCCAATTTGCCACTCAGCTTTTGGGAGCCGTGGGGCACAGAGACAGAATGTCCATGTGCTTACGAAGCTTATCCAGCACTCACTCACACGCACAAGCCTTCGCTGCTTCCAGCAACAGGCCATGCAGTTCCCAGCAGGACTGAGTGGTGACAGGCCCGGGGGGGGGGACTCTCCAACCCACAGGAGTGCACCCCCTGGGGCAGGAAGAATTAAAAATACATTTTTAAAGTGCAGGGACTGAAGTGGGCTGAAAAACAATTCCTGCTTCCTGAGTCTCCATCTCATTGTCCTCCTTTCCGACTGGGTCACGCAGGGCTCCCAGCTAACATGTCAACATTGCCTGCAGACTGAGACTGGAGATCAGAGAGGTAAGGTAAATGGAGTGGCCTGCACCTGCAGGTAACATAACCCTGGATGTTATGTGACCTGAAAAACACACACAAAAAAGCCCTAGATGGCTTTATCTAACCAAACACACCGCATATTTCCACATCATCACATGCACTTGCTTGCATGTGCACTTGCATCACTGTGCACTTGCTTTGCTGCTTGCTGTAGCTCCACTGGCTTCACCAAAGCTGACCGTGCTATCCTGCTCTGCTGCCCCAAGAGCCATCACCTTCACGTACTGCAGCCAAGCAGCTCCAGGCCCCCCTTTTGCCTCAGCCAATATTCTGCCAGGTCTCAGGCAATACCTATTTTTAAGCTCATATAGGAAATCTGTTTTTGCCAAATCCATTGAGCCAACATGCCATGGGGAGTGGTTCCCCTTTCCAGCAACAGCGTTCTCCTGCCTACCTGGAAGGGTAGACATGGAGATAGGAGAGAAGATGTCTGAGCTTCCTTCTGCTGGAGATAGTAGGCAAATCTCCTGGCTGCTGCCTGCATGAGGAAGATGGGTTCTGGCTCACAGCAAGTAGAGACACAATCTTTGGGGCAGAAAGTAACAGGAGCAGCTTTCTCTCAAATGACCCAAACTATGTGAGCATCTACTCTTGGTTGCTTCGGACAGAAGGGAAAAAGCCCAGCAAAGGTCTTGTAAGTGCTTAACAAGGGCCTACTCTTGGTTTGTAGATGAAGGTTTCCAATGCAGCAGAAGAACCCTCCC